TGGTTTCAAGAGACGAATTGAAAGAGTTGGACTAAAAGGGTAGGAGAGAATACCATATTTCTTTCACTTGGATGGAAATAGCGTGTGTCAAATGAGGAGAAGGGGGGGGTATTTATATATGAAGGGAGTAAGAGCAACTCCAATACTCTCTCATTTGGGCCTTTCAAAATCGAAATATAAGAGTTGAGTAAAAAAGGGCCTCTCCAATGGGCTCTTATTTGAGCTCTCAAAATTTGAGATTCTCAAATTTCTTCTCATATATGGCAGTTGCCAAATTTTTTTGGCAAGTGTCTCATTTCCTAAAACAGTGCCGTTTCTCACCAGTCATCACCCATTCGCATCTCTATATGTATATTATATATATAATATATAATATATATAAATTTTTGAAAAAAAAAATTACATAAAAAATTAATTCACAAATAGTGGTAAAAAAATTATAAAAAATTTGTTTTTTTTTTGGGTTTTTTTTTTTTTTTTTTTTTTTTACCAGATATTTTAGATTTGTACTTCTTTTTAATTAGGTTTAATTTTAGTTTCCTTCTAATGTCTACAATTTGACTTGAAATGTGCCTAATATTAATATTACTTATGCAAATATAAATGGTGGGAATGGTAGTTGAAAAAGAATAGTGGTTGTGTTAAAAAATAGCATTTTGCGTGAAATGTACCATTAGAGCAGAATTGCTAAAATGTAGCATTTTGGAATTGTAGCACCTGTCAAAATATAGATTTGGCATGCAAAAATAGGTTTTAGCATTGGAGATGCTCTAATAGTTGAAACATGAGCATTAAATTCGGTTTAGGTAGGTGAGAGACGAGATGCTTGTTTTTTCAGTGACAAGTGGGTGAGAGCATTAAAGTATACAAGATGAAAAAAAAAAAAAATAGCTAAATGCTTATTGTACACATAAATATTTACATTATATATAATAAGATCTCAACATCAAAATTGTCGTGATGTCAAGTATACAAGATATACATGAAAAACATCAAAACAGTAAAACAACTCCAGCGCTTGGGGTTTTTTCCATTCTACACTTTATATAAAGTGTAGAACCACACCAATACCTTTATTTATGTAAAGTGTACAGTCACATCAGCAATTGATTGTACACTTATTTTGGAGATTCCAAATTCTTGTTGTGCATTCATTTTTTCATTCTACACTTTATTATATTATTATTTTTTAAAAAATAAAATAAAATAATTTTATTTATTTATTTATTATTTTTTTTTTCTAATAGTTTTATTCTCAACAACTATAATACTAACGGCTATAATTGTTTGCTCCGATTATATATTTAGATACAAGATTTTAAAAATATATATATATTAAAAAACAATAATATTACATATACATATATATATATATATATACATATATATATATAAAGTGCATTACATAGCTTCCTACAAATAAAATAAAACAATACAACTCAAGAAAAAAAAAATACATTAATACTTCCACACATGAAAAAAAAATATAGTAAACATTACAATTAATTGCCCATTTTTGCATAACACAGCATAATTTCATTTTGTCGATCCTCGATCCATGCTTTCATCGCCGGTGTTGCAGCATCATTTGGATTTTTTTCATCAATTGTCTTTCTCAAAGAACTTGCTCCCGCTCAATCTCCATCATCTTCATTTCTTTTTGCGCCTCGAGTTCTTTTAATTTCATTTCTTTTTGCAACTCAAGCTCCAATCGCCGTGTCCGTTATTGCTCCATACCCAAATCGAATTTTAATTTCATTTTTAAAGTACAAGATTTGAGTGCTAAGTTGTCCATCAACTTATTTTGCTCAGCAAATCCTTAAAACGATGTAAGAAATAAGTCATTTTGTACCTTATCTTTACTTTTATGACCCTTTTTGGCAGCTTTTCGCCCAAGAGGTCGTGAAGTGTCACGTGAACCTTCGTTAATTGCCGGTGAGTCATCGTCGCCAAGGTTTACCGAACCTGGTGTTGATGCTATAGGAGTTGACTGAGTAGATGAATTAGTTGGGATTGAACCTGGTGTTGATGGAACTGTTTCGTAACAATATTTAGGCTCATTACCTGGTGTTGATGGAACTGTTTCGTAACAATATTCTGGCTCATTCATATCAAGATCTATAGCCCTCTTATTTGTGTTTGGTGTTTGTTTTTTTCTTCATTGTATCACAATTTTGGAGCCATTTTGAAGATTTCCGAAGAAGATTCCAATAGTGCTCCAACTTAAATAGCTCCCCTTCTTCATCTTCATACAGTGTTTTTGTTGCCATGTGCTATAAATTTAAATTAAACAAAAACTATACTTAGACAGATTGTCAATTAAAATAAATATTTATTTTTAAGAAAATTAAGGCAGTAAGAAATTTATTACAAAATAAGAAACTTACGACATCTTTAATGTCGTATCCACTTCGACATTGGTTTTGGATCTGTTGCTGGTATCCACTAAATTTGCTGACTACTTGCTTAATTATTATGAATCAATTCGACAAACTTGACTGCTGTCGGTTCTTCTCCATGTCACCCATTTGGCGTTTGAAATTAGCATGGATACGTCCCCAATACGTGCTACTTTGTTGATCTGCACCTGGATCTTCCCCAATATTAATCCACGTTTTGCATAACGCTTCATCTTCTTGGGTGGACCAATTTTTCCTCTATTTCCTTGAATTAGACTTGGATTGAGAAGGTTCAAACTGAGATGTATATTGGGAAGGAGGTTGAGATTGGATAGGAGGTGGGTATTAGGGAGGAAGTGGGTATTGATCGAGAATGAGATTGGTATTGGGAAGGTAGGTATTGAGAAGGAGATTGGTATTGGGAAGAAGGTAGGCCGGTATTGAGAAGAATATTGGTATTGGGAAGAAGGTAGGTATTGGGAATGAGATTGGTATAAGGAATGTGGTGGGTTTTGGAAAGGAGAGAATTGATATTGAGATAGGTTTTCAGATTGGTAAAATCTTGAAGAGTAAAAATTATAATTGAATTGTGGTTGTAGTTCAAAGTTTTATGATGGGGGTAATGGAGGTTGTTGATCCATGTTGTGTTCAACGAAGAAAATTTCGTCAGAAAAAATTGAAAGGAAGATTGAGAAAGAGAAAGATAACTAACTGATAAATGATGAGAAATTTTGTTAGAAGTGTAGTGGTATTTATAGAGAATATGTTATATTACAAACGACTATATTTTATTTGTTTTTTTCTCAATAGCTATATTATGTTTGTCTTTTTCCTAACAGCTATATTCCCAACAGCTATATTATGTTTGTCTTATTCTAACGGTTATATTATGTTTGTCTTTTTCCTAATGAATATATTCTGTTTGTTTTTTCTTCAACAACTATATTCTCAATGGCTATATAAGCCACTCATTCTCTCATTTTTTCAATTGCCAAGTCTACTTCTTTACATCTTTGAATGCATTTTCTCTTTTTTGAGTCTTTATCTTTATTATAGAAAAAAAATGGCTTCATCATCACAATCTATTCTAGTGTACGGGTTAATTTCTCCATTGAGTTCCTCTTCATCTTCTGACAGGGAAGATTTTTTTTAAGAACGTTGAAAAAGGATGAATGTAGTGATGCAACTGTTATTGCCTGAGAAGGTAAAGGCATTGTTTTGACGTCGTATGAGAAGGTATATTAAATGTGATCAAGATGAGACAGCCTAGCGGCTATTCTAAGATTATTTTGCTAAAAATCCCACTTTTCCACCCGAGATGTTTCGTAGACGATTTCGGATGCGCCGAGAGTTGTTTATTCACATTTTAAATGGTGTTACAGCATATGACGAATGGTTCATCCAGAAGCCTGATGCCCTCGGTCGTATGGATTTCACTCCTATACAGAAGATGACAGTTGCAATGCATATACTCGCATATTGTGACAATCCGAATTTTTAAGAGTTGAAATTTAATTATTTTGTGACTTTTTAGTTGTCATTGATTATTTAAATTTTATTGGAGATTTACCTACTTAATTTTTATTGGGTATTTGATTTGGTTTAAGTTCATTTGGATACATGATATTTATGTTTATATTATTAATGGTCTAATGAAGATAAAAAGGAAGGGAGCATGTGGACGAAATTGGTGAGGAATAGAAATGGGTAATTGATTTTAATGTTGTACTTTCGTGGAAGTATTGTTCTTGAATATATATTGATGTATATATATTTTGCATTTGGATCCATATTAGAGAGAGAAGAAATTTGGCCTGAAGAGGTGATAGGACTTGGTTTGTTTTTGTGCATATATATATATATATATATGTGTTGTCTGTTGATGAAGGTGGGCAATTTGGCTCTGCCGAATTGTAGAGAGATGGGCTTGGTGTGGTTGCATTATATATATATATATATATATATATATATACACACACATATACATTTGAAGGATTATCAATTAGAGAGATTGAGAAAGCAAATTGGTCTGCCAGCGAAATTAGAGAAGAAGAATGAAATTGAGATGGTTTTGCGGGGTCCACCACTAAAGAGATATTTTAAGGCTGGAATTAGTTTTGTCACATTTTATACATTATATATATTTGCATTGATCTGATTGAGAGAAGGAGCACAGTGTCAGCCGAAATGATGAAGCAAAGATGGAAGCTTCCACTAATGACTTTGGGCCAAAGATTTTATACAGATTGGTATTTTAGAGGGAGACGTTGTAATTGTATTATGTGATCATTTGGTGTAATGGCAATATGGGGCCGAAAATTATGAGAAAATAAAGAAAAAAATGGTGATAAAGTCGTGGGTCCCACTTGAGATATTAATTGGCAAGAGTTTTTGACTTTAGCTTTGCACATGGCTGTGATGATATATTTGAATTGTCTGACGGTGTGTGTGTGCGCGTGGCTGCTAGCCGGACTGAGAAGAGGAGAAATGGAAATTGGTAATGCATTTTGTGGGTCCCACTTGAAAGCTTTTTGACATTTTCTTTTTGAGTTTGGCTTTGTGCATATGGGGCTCTGTATTGTGTATACAGATGCACGAAAATTGAAGATAAGAAAGTGGGTGGTGGGTCCATTGTCCTTTGATTTGATTTTTGTCAGCTGATGTTTGTATTGTGTCGATACAATTGTCTATTTAATGAGAGCATGTACACACTGGTTGTGAATGTTACAGAAAAGATATTTTAGAGAAAGCAATATTTTAGAACAGAGATAGAATTTAGAGATATAGAGAAAGTGAGCGAGAGTTCACAGAGAGCCGGAAGGTTCGATGCCCAGATGTTACATTGATGATTTATGTTTCAGAGAGAGCCGGAAGGTTCGATGCCCAGATGTTACATTGATGATTTATGTTTCAGTGTGGGATTTTCATATCTTGAATGGTTTGATTCAAATATTTTATTAACTGTTATTTTGTTAAAACTACGTGTGTGTGTGTGTGTGTGTGTGTGTGTATTTTGTTTAAATATATATGTATATTTTTGTGAAGCAAATTTATCATGAAACTCTTTGAAATCCTTTCTATGGTTTTTCTTATTGGGACTTCCCTCGTCTCACCTCCTTCCAGTTTCAGGTACCGAGGATGAGCTTGGATTGATAGTAGTGGGCTAGGTGGAAGGGTTGGTGTTGAAGAATTATTTAATAATTTTATTTACAGATGTTGTATTTTTATTTTGAGGAAATTGATTGTAGTATCGATAAATGATATTTTATTTCTTTTGAGATCCTGGGTGTAATACTGATGTATTTTGATTTGAATAAATCGAGGAATTTATTTAGAAAAAAATTCGGGGCGTGACACATATGGAATTTCAGCAGATCTTTGTGATAAGTATATAAAGATTTCTGAAACCACTACGGTTGAAAGCTTGAAGTGCTTTTGTGATGCTGTAGTTGCTGTGTAAGCAGGGTAATACGTACCAACGTACACCGAACGAAGAGGACATTGCACGTTTGCTTCGAGAAGGGGAAGAAAGTGGCTTCCCAGATATGCTTGGCTTTATAGATTGTATGCATTAGGTATGGAAAAACTGCCCTACAGAGTGGCTTGGCACACACAGGGGAAGAAATCATAAGCATACCCTCATATTGGAGGCGGTTGCATCAAAAGATCTATGGATCTGGCATGCTTTCTTTGATATGGCTAGTTCAAACAATGACGTGAATGTCTTGGATCATTCTCCAGTATTCAATAGCCTGATCAATGGCACAATAGCTCCGATTAATTACGAGGTAAATGGGCATTGACGTACAATGGGGTATTACCTATCTGATGGTATTTATCCCAAGTGGGCAACTTTGATTCAGACCATCCCACATCCAACAACTGGGAAAGAGAAATTATTTGCTAAAAAACAAGAAGCTGTTAGGAAAGATGTTGAATGAGCGTTTGACGTATTGTAGATCAAGTGGGCTATAACTCAAGGACCTGTGTATTATTGAGATAAAGAAGATTTAAACAAGATAATGAGAATGTGCATTATATTACATAATACGATCATTGAAGATGAGCGCGGACACATTTTGCAATGGACACCTCCGTTAAATGAGCCAATATCCCTTCCACAATACATTCGAAACCCAATAATGTTGGCAGCACACATTTCCGGTGGTTTTAGAAGAATTCATAATAGAGCGAATAAAGCTAATCTCAGGAGACATCTAATGGAACATTTGTAGAGTCAATTTGGTGATGAAGATGTTTGAATTTGGTATAATCGAATAAAATGTAATTTTTATATTATTATGCGAATTAATTAAATCAGTACATAATGAAGATGTTTAAATTTATTAATTGAATAAAATGTTATTTTTTATATTATTATGCAAATTAATTAAATTATTATGTAATAAATAAATAAATTAAATTGATAAGTCAAATAGTATAAACTTTTTTTTTTAAAAAAATAATTAATTAAATTCTTATGCAAATTAAATGACTCTTTTTATTTAGTTAGGAAAAATATATATTTTTTTAATTAATTATAATTTGACTATCTTTACATTAATTAATTAATCCAATATACATAAAATAATTATTTTACACATCATCACACAATATCATTTTTTCATTTTATATCATTATCACACACAATGGCCTACACAATCGCCCATTGCGCCAGCCGTTACTGCCACTACCAGCGCTACTTCATTCTTCATCTGTGAAGAGTGGTGTGTGTAATATAAGATGGGCCTTACTTGTGTGTCATCCGCATAGTAGAGCCTTTCATTCCACACAAGTTCAGATATTGTACACTATTACTAGGTGGTGGGGTTGCTCTTAGCATGTGAAGTTGGCATCGATAAATTTATGGAGCTAAGCGCATACAACTGAATTATGGCCATTAATGCCTGGTGAAGTTGGCATCGATAAAAGGTCCCAATGGCACAACTACAAGGACGAAGTCTCTGCTCCTCTTTCTCTCTCTACTCTCCCATCAATTCTCATCTTCTTCTTCTTCTATAGGTTGCCTCTCTCTTGTAATACGTCATTTTATATTGTGTCCTTTTAAGTCATTTCAAAAGATCATACTTTTTTTTTTGTTAAACAATGATATATAAAAATGACTTATTTAGCCATATCATTATTTGCAGAAACAAGATACAAGGACACATTAGAAATGCAATACTATTATTTCAAAAATTACTTTTAAAATTGTATTTATGAAATAAAATTAATATAATATTATAATTTAAAATACATATGTAACAACAAATTTACTCTCTTTTGCAATCAGTTTCGCTATAATACCAGTTGCTCTAGTTAATTATCCACACATGAATATTGTGTCATCAAAACAAATGTGTTTCACAAATTGCAACATTAATGTAAAGATATATCTAGTACATAAGCTTGAAACTATTAGCCGTCACTAAGATAGATTTGAAGATAACATAAATAGTTGATTGTGATCCTCTTCAACTCAACAAATTGACCAAATTATCCTTTAATAAATATACCTTTCATTTATTCCACTACCCTCTCTCCCTCTCCACCCACCACCGGAGAAATAGAGTGTTAACAATGAAGTATTAAATCACTAAGTTCATGACCAAACTATCATTCAATAAATATAATTTTCATTTATTCAACTACCCTCTCTCTCCCTCTCCACCTGCCACCACCACTGCTACTCGAAAAGGGATAATGCTTCAATCCTGCCCTATCAGGATAGATTGTCTAAGTACGTTGGACTTGATTATCATTTTTTTCTTTGATAAAATATAATTTATCGATCAAGAAACAAATAAATAACGTCTTAATTAGAGTGTATCTACGCACCCTCTAATCCAAATTATTTGCTTCTCCATGAATCGAATGCAAATAGTCCTTAAATTGATTCTGCAATAATGTAATATGGAACAAAAGCTTTGAACTTAAAATAAGCCCATTCCATATATTTGTACAATGATGATAATCCATTTCAAAACATCTTTATACATAAAATTGTTCTTGGTTAGATATATGTAAAAATTGACTTGATATATTTTTATCTTTGAATTTTTATTTATTTTTTATTTTTTTAAAACATTAACAATGAATTGAAATATTTTTATTTATTAAAAATTTTATCATAGATTTTTTTTTTTTTTTTTTTTCATTAAGAATATATATTAGAATTTATGGTGTGAAGAAAAAATATATTATAATTTTTAATTATTTGTTAACTTTATATTCGTACTACTAGTGACTTCCCAATTGATTTTCTTTGTTTTGGGTACCTGGGTGCGATGCTAGGGTTTTGGGTACCTGGGCGCGATGCCAGGGTTTGGGTACTGAGGCACGATGCCAGGGGTTTGGTTACTTGGGCGCGATGCCAGAGTTTAGGTACTTGGGCTCGATGCCAAGGTTTGGGAATTTGGACGTGATGCCAAGATTTTAGGTACCTGGGTGCGATGCTAGGGTTTTGGATACTTGGGCTAGATAGTGTACGAGCCAAGTATTGGCGAGAACGAGTGGGAGAGTTTGAGAGCGAGAGAGTGCGAGGTGCTAGCAAGAGCGAGCGTGAGGTGTTAGCAAGAACCAGCGCGAGGTGCTAGTAAGCGCAAACGAGAGGTGCTAGCACGAGCGAGTGCGAGGTGCTAGCAAGAGCGAGCGTGAGGTACTAGCAAAAGCGAGCGTGAGATACTGGCAAGAGCGAGCGTGAGATGCTGGCAAGAGCGAGTATGAGCTGCCGACAAGACTGAGCGTAGATGTTAGCAAGAGCGAGTGTGAGATGCCAATAAGAGCGAGCGGGAGATGCTAGCAAGAGCGAGCGTGAAATGCTAGCAAGAGAGAGCGAGCGTGAGATGCTAGTAAGAGCGAGCGTGAGATGCTAGTAAGAGCGAGCCTAAGATGCTAGCAAGAGCGAGTGTGAGATTTAGCAAGAACGAGTACGAGGTTCTAGCACGAGCGAGTGCAATGTGCTAGTAAGAGCGAGCGTGAGATGCTAGCAAGAGCGAGCGTGAGATGCTGGTAAGAGCGAGTGTGAGATGCCACCAAGAGCGAGCGTGAGATGCTAGTAAGAGCGAGCCTGAGGTGCTAACAAGAGCGAGTGTGAGGTTCTAGAAAGCGCGAGCGCGATGTGCTAGCAAGAGCGAGCGAGCATGAGATGCTAGTAAGAGCGAGCATGAGATGCTAGCAAGCGAGAAAGCGAGGTGCTAGAATGAGCGAAGGCGAGGTGCTAGCGAGAGCGAGCTCCAGGTACTAGCGAGAGTGAGTGTGAGGTGCTAATGAGAACGAGCGTGAGATGCCAGTGAGAGCGAGTGTGAGACGCCAGTGAGAGCGAGCGTGAGATACCAGCAAGAGCGAGCGTGAGAGGCCAGCGAGAGATGCCAGCGAGAGCGAGCGTGAGATGCGAGCGAGAGCGAGTGTGAGGTGATAGTAAGAGCAAGCCTGAGGTGCTAGCAAGAGCGAGTGTGAGGTGTTAGCAAGCGTGAGTGCGAGGTGCTAGCAAGAGCGAGTGTAAGATGCTAATAAGAGCGAGCGGGTGTGAGATAAGTAAGAGCGAGCATGAGATGCTAGCAAGAGTGAGTGTGAGCTACTAGCAAGCGCGAGTGTGAGGTGCTAGTACGAGTAAGTGTGAGGAGCTCGCTCTAGCAAGAGCGAAGGTGAGATGCTAGCGAGAGCGTGCGGGAGATGCTAGCTAGAGCGTGCGGGAGATGCTAGTAAGAACGAGCATGAGATACTAGCAAGAGCGAGTGTGAGATGCTAGTAAGAACAAACATGAGATACTAGCAAGAGCGAGTGTGAGATGCTAGCAAGCGTGAGTGCAAGGTGCTAGTGAGAGCGAGAGTGAGGTGCTAGCGAGAGCGAGCGTGAGATGCTAGCGAGAGTGAACGTGAGATGCTAGCAAGAGTGAGCGTGAGATGCGAACAGGAGCAAGTATGAGATATGAGCAAGAGCGAGTGGGAGATGCGAGCAAGAGCAAGCAAGAGATGCTAGCAAGAGCGAGCGTGAGATGCTAGTAAGAGTGAGCATGAGATGCTAGCAAGAGCGAGTGGGAGATATTTCTCTCTCTGATCACTTAATTTAACTTCGTTTAATATTTCAGTTGTTGATCGTGACAATCAATCAAACTTTCTAATCAGTTACCTGTGAACCATTAGGACTAACTTAAAGATTGAACATAAAACTCATCTCCCCGTGGGTTCGATCCTCTCTAGATAGTGCTATCCTACAAGGATTCGTTCTATTGCGGGTGGTAAAATTAGACACACGATCAATATGTTAATTATAAATT